GATATCCGGAGCCCCGAAAACCACCCAAAACTGTCTTGGATGATTTTCCGACGACAATAATCGATTATCATATGTGATACTCGATTATTTGCGAGAGCTTTGAAGATGATACAACTCTCTGACTAGAATAATCGATTATCAAGTGAGATAATCGATTATTCTTATCCGTTTTTGACAGCAACGTGATTTTACTGGTTTTTGTGCATCTTAGACGTATCCAAATGAACAATTTAAAATTTGTAACACTAATATTGATATGAAACATTATAGATGAAAGTAACCTATTGCATTAGTCATTTGGATATGAATTAAATGTACTAAACCAACTCAAATTCTACTCCAAAACATCAAACTCAATAACTAGAGGACCCCAAACCCAATTCTAACACTTTGTACCTATTCTGACCAATTTGGTGACTCAAACAAGTCACAATCCACTTGCTAAGACTGTCCCAATAGCTCAATTATACCCAGGACCCCTAACTCTCAAATTCACTACCTCACTTCCTCCAAAAGGACCTAAAACACTACCGAATCACCAAGTTTTCTACCTAGCTAAAGTTACAACATATTTCACACTCCAAATCACTTCTAACATGATCCAATACAGTAATTAAGTTCATCAAACTCACTATAAAGCAATCAATCACAGTTCCATTAATTACATCATTCAATTCAAACCATCCTATATACTTAAAATCCAAAGTACCGTACAAAACCGCACGACAGTCCAAAATTCAACATGCATTCATTTACAAAGCAGATTCAAGAAATAAATTCAAAGAAAAATAATTAGCTCCCCTTACCTAAGGTTCTCACAATACAACTCACAAAAGCAACTTCACATAACCTCTCACAACAAAAAGCACAATACCCTACATCCACCAAATTAGTGATAAAAAACAAATCTTAGAGCTAGAATGAACAAAGGAAATGGAAAGAAATATTTCTAGCTACATGCAACCAAAAGAGATGCATGCCCTAGGTTCCAAAATCACGGAGGAGAAAGGGGAAACGACTTACCCGCTGAAGAACGAGAATCTAATCGGAGGGTTGCGAAACTCTCTGCGTCGCGGTCACTTTAGCACTACCAAATCAAATATGCAATGGCTGAATGTGAGGGAATGGTAGAGAGAAGGCAGGGAGAAGAAGACTGAGTTCTGAGTTTTTAGGAGAGAATGGAGTTGGGTTAATGAACCAGAATGAGTCTGAAAATGGCTTTTAAAGGAACAATTCTTGACTTCATTAACTTAATACTCCATTAAATTTTTAAATAAATTTCCAGGTTCTTACATTTAAAGTAATTTTAACTTCTGTAGATTGAATTAGATATGATTTTACTTAAAATTTGGAGTGTTTAAAACATGATAGACATGTAGTTTTAAAAGTTTACATTTTGTCTAAATTATGAAATCAATTATACCTACATTAAGTAAAATTTAAATCAATAAATATAAAGTGTTTCAATATCGATAATAATCCAAGCAACACAATTTTTTAGAAGATTACAAAAATAATACAATCCAAGAGGTATAAAAGCCCAAGAGGTGTATAGTAATTTAGTTTATGGCAATTGTTTTCTCAAATCCATTAAATTTCTTTATTTAATTTTAATATTTCATATATTTCCTTTTTAATCACATTTTAATTTTAATTTTTAAATTATTTTTCCAAATGAAACTGAGGATTGATATCAAGGATTACAAATACAGGCATTGCCTATATTAATTTTTAACACTTTCACATTTACTGTACGAGAGAGGTAAGAAGGTTTTCTTATTTGCAACATATACAAATCTCCAAATATCTTTTCTACATTTAAGGAATTAATCTGTGTTTCGGTAGGGATTGTGAGACCGAGACACTAACCTTCGACTGGTGCGCTCCGCTTGTCTGCTTCCAATTTGGACCGATCGGTCACCTTCAATATTGATCGCTCAGTGAACTTCAGTCTCGACCGCTCAGTCACCCTCTTTGTAAAAGAGGGGAGGTACCTGCAAAAGGCACTCCGACGCTCAAGTTAGGGGCGGTTTTATGAACTGTTTGTTACAGTTAAATATTGAAGTCCTAACAAGACGTAAATAGGGCGTATTGTAGTATGAGTTGACTCTGTCTTTACCTCAAACCTAAACCCTTATTTATAGAGTTTAAAGGAATCTGACAAATTAATTTACCTCTTAATGGTCATTAATGCAAATCTTAATTGTTTAACGGTAGCCGTTATCACATTCATTGTGCGTCAACTCTGCTCAATAGTTGTCGAGACTGAATGGATGAGAAGCTGGTCGAGACCGATCGGTAGCCTGTGAGCCCATAGTAACAATTTGAAATCCTTTAAAACTGATTTGTAAAATTGTAGTAAAATTGGTTTCCTATATTATCTTATTGCAGAAAAATTGAAATGTACTTTTATTGCACAATGGATTTTGTTAATGTTACTGCATAATGGACTCTACGATAGTTCGATATCAAACTTTACGAAGTCCTAGAGTCAAATTCAGTTCTTAAGCATGAAGAAATTGAGAAGCAGAGAGACTATAAATATAATATCAAGGGTGACAACAACAAAACAATTATCAAATACTTAGTTGGGTTAAGGTTACTGCCAAAAACACCTTGAAAGAAGAATGTCACTTTTTTTCTTTAAAATCTAAGGGATAAATCAGTATAGGATTATTTTCACCCAATATAATAATATACTCATATAGGGATCGTTTATTTGCTAAGAAAGAGATTACATCATTTGAGTTAGGCACTGATAGAGGATTCTTTTTCACTGGAGATGGGACTGGTTTGCTTAAGATATGGAAATGAAATGAGTTACCTAAGCAAAATAAGATGTTTTCTATATTCTTCATACGTTAATTTTTCTTTTGTTATCAAAGTGTCCTTCATTCTTATGCATGTCATCTTGTCTAACATCTTAGAGCATTAATGCATTTACATAATTTATCCATTACATCTTGTTTTTTCATAACATATATTTAATTGGAAATTCAACCTCTTAACTCTAAGTTCCAAGTTTGTTTATTGATATTTTCTGAGCACATTATTGATATATATATTTTGTGACCATGATAACTTGTTGGGAAACTTCACACACCATACACATGTAGTCTTGACACTGTGATACTCAAGGAAGATAGTTTTTTTCACTAATATACTTAAATAAGAAATGAAATATTTTCTTTTATATTTCTATAATGACACTCACTTGCTGGGAGAATTGTTGTCAATTGCAAAAAGAAAAAAAAATTGACACCTCTTTGAGACTAAGGTAGGAAAGAATTGTCTGTCAGTTAAATAAAAAATAAAAGAAAAAATTAGAATTTTCTTTTAGTAAATTGACACCCCTTTGAGATTATATTTTACTAGGGAAAGAGACACTCCTTAAGACTAAGTGTGGCAAGTGCAAAGTATTTGAGTGAAAGATTCATGCCTAGTTGGCCGGTAAGTGCTTTCTAAGAAACCTAAGAAAAAATATTTTATAAAGAAAAAGTAAAGTTACAAAAATTATCTATCTTAATGTCTTTGTCTTTCCTCGATTAGTCATTGCACTCACGGACCCAACAAGTTAATCATTGTTCAAAAAAATTGTGAAATGTATGCCTTTTGGGATATCATTGTATGAATTTGGACTGGAGATGAGATCATATATTTCCATTTAAAAGCATTAATCATTATGTTTCCATTATCATTTTATTTTATTTGAATTTTAGTTCTATTATCCTTCATACCTTAGTTTAGGTTATTTTCATGCATTATTGTATTATTTGAATGATTTCATCACGTGTTATTTCTATTTCGAATCATATCCTTGGATTTTGTGTCTTTCTTGTAAACAAGTGTTTTTAGGTGTTAAAATCAGAATTTTTAAAGGTTAGTATTAGGGATGAGGCATATTATATTGCAGCAGTGTTTGGAAAATGCAAATGTACGTTGGTGTCACTTTGACAGTTGACCTAGGGTTCTTTGCTCTGAATAGCAACCATTTCTCCCTCTTGATTATGTGTACGTCTTCACCTTCACATAATCTAGCTGCAATAGTGACTGGATTGGATCACATGTTGTCCAACCACCACATGATTGACAAAGCTCAATGTTGTCATCCGATTTTTCACAAGTTGAACATTCAATGAGTGAGGTTGTTATTTTCATTGCATCACAAAAATAAAAGAGGATAGGTAATCTGAAGAAGCAAACAAAATGCGAGTTAATTAAATTTGTAATCCTTATATACATATTAAAAAAATGATTTACAACCATGTCAAAATATTGTATATAACAAGTCAAATTAGGTAAATAAAATTAGCCCCTACTTCTTGCTTAACTAAAAATCCAATGCTTATTACCATCTATAGTATATTTCTATATTACTCTGTGACTAAAATCCACCAAATAATTTGGAAGCCGAAAACTAAAAAAGAAATAAAAAAATGGGGAACTTATGTATACTAGCAAATGGTGATGATCCATGCATTTTACTGACAAACCGATCCATCACTTTCTAAAATATCTTTTAAACTTAAAAGCCTATCATTTTATAAAAAAAAAAAAAGACTTAAGTACAACCTTTTTTATAAAGTCATAAATCCAAACATCTAATTAACTATTACCAATTTTCCTTCAAAAAAATACTGTAGGAATCGCATTGATCAACATGGTATTTGAAAAGAAGAATAAAGAAATCCAAATCTGCTTCTCGAAGTCAAAAGGAAGTGATTCGCTTTAAACTAGACCGACATTGGAATTGACTGTTTATTCTGAGGGAAGAATGCCACTGACTGTTTATATGAATGAAGAAAGACACTAAGTTATTGTTCTTTTGAGTTGATTTAAGAGAGTGGATTTAAGAAGATTTGAGAAGATTTGAAGATAAATTTTTTTATCGTTTATTTGAGTCAATTTGGAGGTAAATGAGAGTGAATTTGAAAGTAAATTTTTTTAATTTGTCACGTCAATAAAATCCTATATTAATTCTCACAAACTTTACTTCCAAATTCACTCTCATTTACTTACAAATTGACTCAAATAAGACAAAAAAATTTATCTTCAAATCTTTTTAAATCCACTCTTTCAAATCCACTCAAGATAAAAAGACCTAAGAAAAGCCAGAAGGTCTTTGTGCTATAGTTCTGTATCCTTCACGTTCACGTTGCTAATAATCCTTTTAGAGTGTATTGATCCTTATGATTGATGCTGGTAATACAAGTTCAGCCAAGGTTGTGATTCTTGGAGTTCCAGGGACACTGTTATTTCCAACAATTACTAATTAAGCATCTCCCATATACATTCAATCCTCATCTGTATCATTGTCAGATAGAACCGATTGCTCAAATTCAGCATCCATAATAATCCCATCCATAAGATGCACAACGATCTCCTCTTTTCTAACATCTATTATTTCTGATCGAACCCTGTTAACAACAAGCATTTCGTCGATGTCTTTTGAAATGTACAAGGGAAACCCGGATAACGAATCATAGTTCACAAGCTCACCCAATTTCACATTAGAGGAAAGAAGTGCACGAGGGACAGTTGAAAATCCCAATATACGAGTCAAAATCGCGTAAGTATCATTAAACCTGTCCGATTTCAAAGAATCGTTCACTGACAGACGCAGATCTCGCTTAAACGCTTCCTCGGACGGAACAAACACGGTAAAAGCAAGATCTTGAGGCAACATGTCAATTATCATTTCTCCAAACTTGCCCAAGTTGCCATCTTGAAGGGAAACTTTTCTGGATCTCGTTATTGGGTAAAACCCCATTGCACTTTCCTTTGTTGGGGCGTCTGGAAGCTTGAGAACAGTCATGGTCACGATAAAAAAACAGCAGACACACACCAACATGCTTACAAGAGCAATTGAATGTTTCAAAACTTGACGCCTCCTCATTTTGATACAACTCACTATCCCAATAGTTGAATAGTTGCTATTCTGAAAATCAAGATCTTAAATTTTGAACTTGATCAACAAAATCCAGCACCTGAGTATCTAAACAAGAAAAGGAGAGTCAATGTTGAAGGGTCACAATAAACGAAACTAAAAAAGTACAATATCCATTAATAAGTGAATCTTTAAGGGATCAAAAACTACTAGGAACTCAATTGAAGTCAAATGATCAATTGACAATTTGAGACTAGTGAGTAGGTGACCTTGGTATCAAAGAAACAAGTTATCCTCGGTTAAACTTGTAGTTATCATCGCTGATGATGGTGACTATACTTTGTCATTTACTTCCATATTCTTTTAACAAATATAATTGGACACAGTTGTTGATTTAATCTATGTTGACCAAATAGTGTATACTTATTCCTTCTTTTAAATTGCTTTTGTAAGAAGTTGTGGAAAAACAATTACAAGTCTTACATTACTATTTACAATTGAAATTAAAGTCTTTTAAATGGTAATTTATATATACTTTTAGGAGTAGTCAATTACATTAGGCCTTACGAGCTGTTTCTTCTTTCATTCTTTCATCTTCTTCTTTTACTTTTACTTTAATTAAACTGTTTATGCAAATATTCCTTCGGGAAAACACGGATCACTTAAATAGCTTGCTTCCAGAAAAACGATAGCTAACCCTTATGTTCATCCCCCCTATCCAAAATTAATCTAGCAAATAGAACCTACACACACACATATCCTTTTCTTTATGTTTTTTTTCCACATATATGTAGGAAACATGAAATTGGAAAATGACGAATACAAATAAAACAGGATCTGAATAGCTAACACTTATAAGGTGATGCATTAAAAAAAAATCCTACATTTTTCACTCGAACGATCAATTTTTGAATTTTGTCTACTATTTTTGCATATTCTCAATTTAGTTCCACCTTGGTAAAAATGAACATGTGGTGTTAAGTTCATTTCAGAACTTTGACCTAGTCTTATGTCCAACAATAAGATTTTCATTCAATTAAGAGAATAAATGTTAATTTATAAAGGACATTTTATGAATAAAGTCAGCTTTTAAGGATTATTAGGATTATTCCTGAATATTAATGGATAGGTTTATATGAATATAGAAAGGGATATAATAAAAAAGACATAGACAGTTAGAATGCTGTAACTAAAAGTTTTCTACTTCTTGACTATAGCACTTTGACACCATCCGGGGATTTAGTGATCTTAATGCCCATTTTTTTCAAGAAAATCCTACTCCAACATTAGGTAATGACAAAATCATAGATTTCATTTTCAATTCCTTTGAAGTACAAGATTGGTTAATAAAAGATGATAAAAAGTAATTTTTATATTTTGTGTTATGTGCATACTTTTTATGCATACATCTTGTCTTCTAATTTTTAAGCAATGTCGGACTTTTTTCATTTGAATGGATTTGGGAGAGAGTGATTGAGTGAATTTGAAAATAATTTTTTTGTTGTTTGTTTGAGTGAATTTGGAAGTAAATTTTTTTAATACATCACATCAATTAAATCATACACTAATTCTCACAAATGTTGCTTCCAAATTCACTCTCATTTACCTTCAAATTCACTCAAATAAATAACAAAATAATATATCTTCAAATCCTCTCATATCCACTCAATTACTCTCCTCTAAATCCATTCAAGTGAACAAAGGATAAGAGTTATAGCGGAGAAACCATTCTAAGAACTTGGGATATATGTTTTAATGAGACAACCAACCATTCTGAGAACTCTTTCTGGAGTCATTGTGAGAGGTCTCTCACTGAGCTATTATGAGAGCTCTCTAATCGAGTCATAGTATGAAAGAAATCAATTATTTGTTTAAGAAAATATAATGATAGACAAAATTCTAACATATTTTAAAGTTTAGTTTTATTGCTCGAGAGGTTGTATGGTAATAAATATGATTTCGACTTACCAACTTTAAAGTAAGTCTTCTCGCTTAAATACCTAAGTCTATCTATCGGATCATATTTGTGGAAGGTGGTCTGATACCAATGTAATCACTTATTCGAAATAATGAAGTATTTATCTAGTTTTATGAAAGGTTTTTAATTACAAATATCTTACTAATTATGACAAGTATTTATCTAGTTTTACGAAAGGTTTTTAGTTACAAATATCTTATTAATTAATCAGAATGTCAGCCAATAATTATAATAATAAAGATATCTTATCAACTGGAAAAATGTTCAGCTTCTGATTTCTTTCAAGTCTTATCTTTATCTAGCCTTATAGTATGAAGAATTTTAACTTTGGGGCTTATACCGTGTTAGACCCATTCCCACTAGCATACTTGACCACATGGAAGATCACATATATACGGAATAAGCAATAATGAAATTATAGCATTTATGTCAAAATAATTAACTAGTTTAATTTTTAAAAAAAAACAAGTGATTATAAAGGACAATTATTTATTACAGAATTTATGTCAAAATAATTAACTAATTTTAAAAAAAAAAAATATTTATGTTTTGGATGTATGAAATCAAATCTTCTCTTCAAAGGGTGATCTTCAATTGATCGTCTTTAAAATCGATCTAATCAGTAATCAATCACAACTAATTGTGATTAAATTTTTAAATAAAATGGTTTTAAAATTAATATGTTTCAACTTGAGTATTTTGTCTTTATATTATTTCGATCGTCTAATCTAATTCCATCTAACAAAAAAATTGACTGTCCGATTAATATTTATTATCAGACAACATATATTGTCCACTTTATAAAGGACACTTTTTAAATAAGTTTTGGTTTTGGATTTATCGGAATATTAATTGGGTAGAATGACCAAAATTGCCCAGAGGTGATGCGTACCTAACCGTGTGCCTTTAGGTAGTAGAGTAGAATGACCAACTAATAAATTTTTCAAAAGACTCCAAGAAATTAAACAATGATGAGTCCCATGATATCACAAGCAACATAAGCTCGTTAGTCTTTAAGAAAATAAAATTTTGTATGAAAAAAAAAACAAACCCAGACCAAACACCACGAACATATTTATCAAGAATATATGATTAAGAAGGTTGGAGTTCCCCTCAGCTAGGTTCTAGGCATTAATCAAAATTCTAAACCACCAAACCCCAAATCCTATTACATTCACTCGATTTTCAGTTCAATATTGTTTGGTGAGTTAGAAAAACTCATAAAAGGGTGATGAACCTCCTAATATAAACCATAAGTGCATGGTTCTTAACCCAAATTCCATTCAATATCTAATATCTTATAGCTTGACAACAAAACACGATCAATGAATAAAGTGAAACAACACGATTGCTTCACCCTCCTAAGCTATTTCCAAAATTAACCTCGCAAACAAAATCTATAGACGTACATATATCCCTTTCTTTTTTATTTTATTTTTTTTCACGCAAATGCAGGAAATAGGAAAACGACGAATTCAAACAAAACGGAATCTGAGAAGCCAACACACATATGAAAGTCCCTGAAAAAAAAAAGCTTTTCCGAAAAAAAAAAATCCGTTGCCAAAAACGAAGCGATCTTAATCGTTTAATTTAACTTTTGGAATCATCCGTATTAAGAAATTAGATTTTTTTTGGAAATAAATTAATGAAGTGAGGAGGAGAGAAAGGAAGGAAAGAATGAGAACCTGGAATCGGAGGAGCGAGGGGGAAGAGGCGTTTGGTTGTTCCATACTACGAAGGAAGAAGCGCTCGTGGAGAAGGCGAGAAGCGTGAGTGCGACGCAGCAACAGATGAGAAGCTTGATCTTGACTGATTTAACAGTTGAGATCGCGAGTAGACGGAACCGCTGCTCTGTCCGACGGTTCCAACCGCAGCAGCTCCCTCTCATCACCGCCGCAAGGAATGCGTGCAGCCGAGGCGAAGATCTCTCGGAGACTCAGCGGTCCGGCTCAGCGGCGAGGCATCCGGTGGCGGAAGCGAAGGAGTGAAAAAAATTGAACGGATTTTGTTATGTGTGCTCTCGGATTGGCTCCGACGTGTGAAAGTGAAAGCTTAATGTTGTAGCTTAGTGATCGTTGGGCCTTGTCGTTGTGTGCCTCTGTCTCAGTCGCAGATCACATTGACAGGAATTGATGCCAGAAATAAAACGAAGAGAACCTTAATAGAATATAATGAGAGAAAATGGGAGAGAGAGAGAGAAAGAGATATTCGTTATTTCCTTTATCTTTATTTTTATTTTTTATTTCATTCTCATTGGTTGGGTTCCGACATGGTATTTTTAGTTTATACTTAAACTAAATAATGAAATCATAATAATTAACTACCGTTACATCAGTTTAAGTGAAATTTATCTTAGATTACATATTTTAATATTCAAATTAAACTCATGATCGTATGTAACAAAATAGCTTTATGCTATAATGTTAACATGCTATACTTTAAAAAAACTCTTACAAATTTCTAAAATAAATTATACTTGTCTATCTTAAATTCAACATCAGCTATTAAAACCATGATTTAAAATATGAAGGAATATAAATTAGGGGAAATATTTAATATAACTAAAACTAAAAACAGTTGTTTCAAAATTTGAAGGAATAAAAGATACTTTTTTATATATAAATCAAAGTTAAACCCCACTAATTTTACGTCAACCAAACTACATTATAGAAAATCCTTTTCCATAATGTATTTCATTTTACTCCAGAAATTATGATATCAAAATCTGATTTCAGAAATTCTATTTCAGAAATTTCGTTTCAAAAATTTTATTTTAGAAATTTCAGAAAGTTTCTGAAATATGGTAAAGTAGTCATTTTGAAATATATGGCGGGGTGTGCAAAAACGTTGTGGGGTGCAGAAATTAAAGCCTTTTATTTGGTTAGGTAAACAGTATTATTTCATATTGGGCCTTGACCTAAAAGCCTAATACGAGAATACCATTTTAAGAAGTTGGGTGCTCCCACGCACCACACATTTTTTTAGGTGTTGCTCCTTCCATCACCACACCTTTCTTCTTCCATCTCCTCTTTACTATTTTGTTCCTTAGTAAAATTTTATTTTTAAAGTTATTATTTTTTAATTTTATCCATTCACAACCTATTCTAGTCTCGTACATGAGTAAAATACTTTTCTTTCATTTTATCCGTTGAAGGATGTTGACATCCGTTGAAGGATGTTGACATCCGTTGAAGGATGTTGACATCCGTTGAAGGATGTTGACATCCGTTGAAGGATGTTGACATCCGTTGAAGGATGTTGACATCCGTTGAAGGATGTTGACATCCGTTGAAGGATGTTGACATCCGTTGAAGGATGTCACCTCCGTTTAAAGGTTACATTTTTTATTTTAGGGTTTGTTTTATTAGGGGACATCCGTTGAAGGATGTCACCTCCGTTGATGTATACTTCCTCACGTTGGTCGACGCTTTGGACGCTCCTCCACACGACGGGCGGCGACACTCCTTCACATTACCGCGGCAATAGAAGCTTTCAAACAAAAAAAAAACTGGGAAGAAAAAGGAATGTAAGCGTGGGAGGTGGGAAAGTGAAACGGAAATGGGGAAAGGGGAAGAGAGTTCCGTGGGTGGGTGCTGGGAAAGAAAAATCAGGGTTTCAAATTATTTAAAATAGGGTAAAAGTAAAAATCTTTTTAACTTAAGGATATAATTGTATTTAAAATAGTGGGGAGGTGGAGGAAGTAGAGGGTGGTGGTACAGGGAGCAACATCCCATTTTTTTTTACCTTTAATTGTTTTTTCTTTCTAATTTGACCCTTTTAGTAATAAGTGTCTAACTTCTACCACCACAACATATCATCTGCACCTTCTCAAATTATTTTATTTCAAAAAAATATCCTTGGGTTAAAGGTTAATTTTTTTTTACTTTTATCACGAATTTTTAATTTATTTTCCAAACATTAATTTTACCTCATTCATATTCCCTAAACGCAGCAGGTGCACCTCATCCCCATCCCACCCTAATCCCATTTTCATGTTAACTCAATCTTCTTCTACCTAGTTGTACTTAATGTGACAAATCCATTAGTCACCATGTTATTGATTGAGTATTTGAAAAAATATTGTAGTATATTTTTTTATAGTATATTTTTTTATATCACTCC